TTGTATAAAATAATTTATATAGTTATAAGATTCTTTAATTGAGTTGATAATAAAAATTATTTATTTATAAATATGGATGAGATTATTTTTTAGTTTATATATCAATATGAATGCCAAATCGAAAATCGTTAAAATATGATTATTTTATTAGATCATATATGAAAAATGAAATACATATAAAAAAATTATAAAGTTCTAAAAATAAAAATAATACATATTTATACTAATTAATATATAAAGTAAATAAAAATGGTAAGAATAGTATATGGTTATCGATAAACTCGAAAACACCAATATATATATCTATTAATATATAATAAGAATTAACTTAATTCAAATTTAGTAACTATTTCCCGCCAAATTCATTAATTATTGTCTAAAAATAGCTAGCATTAATTGCAATACATAATATGGAAGAAATGATAAAAATATTTCATACAAAAATAATATAAAGACAATTAATGTAAATTGAAGGCTAAATAAAAATTACCATATATAAAAATATGGTAATTATATAATATAGAGACGACAATTACTATTATATAAAATATAGACATGGCAATTAATATTATATAAAAATAATATAGAGACGGAAATTAATATTATATAAAATATTTATAATGATTATTAATAATTATTATAGTTTGTAATATTATAATTAATATTAATTCACATGAAGAATATTAGTTATGAATCTATGTAACAAAATAATATGATATAAATTTTTATTTATATGATATTAGCCCAATATATATAGTTATAAATCTTTATCATTTAATATTAATAATCATTCATGCGTGTACAATCATGTCTTTATTTATTCGGGTTATATCATTAATGATAAAAAATTTTTGGACTATTTATAAATTTTTTTGTTAGCATTTTTATTCGTATTTTAATAGTTTATATATAGGTATTTATCTCGATAATCATATGTTTTGGAATATCATTTGTTCATACCAAATCATTAATTTATAAACTATTATTAATTGAATAAATATTCTTGATTTTTTTAACACCAACGCATTAATTTTGTTAACGCTAATGCATCATGGAATAAATATTCGGACCCCTTTTTGTTCACGCCAATGCATTATGGAATAAATATTCTGGATCATTATTTATGGAATAAATATTCGGACTCCTTTTAACGTGAATGCATTAATTTCGGTCAATACAAATGTGCTAAAAAAAATTGTATAAAAGGATATTCACTACCACCATTATTTCTTCACGTCATTCACAAAGTTCAGAGAAAAAAAAAACAAAATACAGAGATAAATTTCAGAACACATCGATAATATAATGCCTCCAGTTTGGGATACATTCGATTCCGTGAGTAGGACAAACAAACCTTATTTGCTTTTGAGAGCAGTCCGAATAATTGAAACGCATCACGAACGGGAGAGCTGGAACGCATTCCATATACTGTTTCATGATGAACAGGTACATATTTTCATTTGTAATATCAAATTTATATAATTTGAAAAATTATTTTAATTAATATTTATAAATTGATTTTGTAGGGCGCATTTATTAAAGTCATAATACGTTGTATATAAGGAGATTTTTTATAACTTTTTACCAATGACGATTTTATGTTTACTTTATGAATGTCGTACGTATTATAATAACTTACTAGTACGTACCCCGTGCGATGCACGGAACATAGATATTAAGTAAGTTATTTTAACAGCCTTGTCCCTTTAAATCTTAAAAGTAATAGTGTTATTATCTATTTTTTACCTCTTTTGATCAACGTTAAGTCTAAAAAATAATAAGGTTATAAGTTTTTTTTTTCATATCTTTTAACCAACATTGTTTTTTAGCCAGAACTTAAATATGAGTATGTTAGATCTAGCTTGTAA